ATCGTTACTTTAATAAGACTTCAGTATAACGAGATGATCTACAAAAATTAGCCAATCACAATATATGTTCGCTATGCTATATCACATAGTGTATGGTTTTGAAAATTTAGGTAGCGCACCCGTAATTTTACTGAGAATAAAATGTTATAGTTTGGGTTAAGATTAGAACGATAGAGTTTCTATTAGTAAAATTTCACGAGAAGTATTTTTAATTAGGCCACAGAAAGTGGTTTCTTAATTAAAACATCGAGTTATTTCTGTTTTTTGTAAAAAAAAGGTCGCTCGATTGTTTACATTACACCTGATTTTGAAATTTTATTGGTCAAAAATCAGGGAGGGACAATTTTTGTGGGAGCGCTAGATGAGTTGTTCTCCATGTTGGAGATGCCCTGGCTTGTATAAGAGAGATAGGTGAAGGACTTTGGGACTTCGAAGGCCTGGTCTCTTCTTTTAATATCTTTTAATATTGATTGACTAGTTACCGGGAGACTAGACTTTAATTTATCGCTTGTCTGCTTTTTCTTGCTATTTTTGGTTTCACTATGATTTTCAGGGGTCACAGAAAAGAGTTTATTTTAATTCTTCCCCGTTGGTTATTTTAATGTATAATTAAATAATTAATGTCGAAATCATTTAGTTAAACAATTTCCGAATGATGAATGACGAAACCTATAACTAATTATGAAACATACAGCGATTGATAAAAGAATTTTCTATTTGTTTGTAATAGAAATAAACTAGTCCATGTAAAGTTTTTTTTGCCGGTTATTGATGAAACTCTTAAATTAATTTGACCAATAAAATATCAAACTATAGTTTAACCTCATTCTTTATAGCAAACGATCCACTATTTAATTATAAGGTTTTACTGGTTCATATGAATACAGTAACTTTTTATCATAATTGATAAATCAGCAATTCGTTATAAAAAAAGTTGAACTTAACAAAAGATTTACAAGATCCAGAAGTCCTGACAAGTATTACATCAGGAAAATTAAATAAGTGTAAATCTGCAATAAGTTTTGTACAGAATTGAATTTAATTTCTGCATTCATAGCATCAAATTTGAAGCTTTGTGCAGATTTTTATTTATTAATTAACCTTTTGCAAATCTGTGCTAAACTGCACTAAAAATAAAATTCGTATGTAGTTAAGCTAAAAGCGTGACGATCATTTAAAATAGTTTTGTATGGTATAATTAATTCTAATGACCGGTTTTTAATCACAACTCAAAGTCAAGATTTTGTGTATAAAAAACTGGGATCTAATTTGTTTCTAATAAACGTGTTAGAAATGCTTAATAATATGGGAAGTTTACAAACAATTGAAATTTTCAACACACAAATAATAGAGATAATTTCTAATTGTGCAGTAAACTAAATGTTAAAATTGCGGATAATTGGTACGAAGATATTTAATTACTAAGCAGTATTATGCGGAGAGAATTATTTAGATGACTATTAACCATACACATCGCTTCATTATGCTCTCGTATGCATAAGTCTGTACTGCATTTTTAAATAAAATTAGGCCAATTATTATTTTTTTAGCATGTCATGTACATACGTACGTACGTACATTTGTGCATCACTTATTAGTCTTAAATTACCTTATATTGAATGTGTTAATGTTTTACTAAACAAGCAAACGAGATTGGATTTATTATATATAGGAGCTAAAATATTCTTAGATGCCATTAACTTTTATTAATACGAAAATAGTTTACATTAAAAATGAATCACAAATTTATTAATTTATTTTTCGCAATTTTTTATTCATATTTACTATCATTTGCTATCTTTGCCAATGCTCATAATTATGAAACTTCAGAAAATGAAATTTCGGAATGCTGTAAAGAACGTGGCAGTCCTGGGTGGACAAATATAATTCACGAATTAGCTTACTATAACATTGCCCCACGACTTGATATTTCTACTCCACAACATTGTTGTCAAGCATGCGTTGAAGATCCAGATTGTTTACAATGGTTATTTAAAACAACTGTAAACCTATGTGACTTAAACGTCCAAAGAAATTTGACACTCAAAACGTGTGATCAACCTACAGGTCCACCTACATCAAGCCAAGAAGGTGGAGTTATTGGTTGTAGTGATGGATGTAGGTGTAAACTACTCGAATCTCATAAATCTCATGAATCTCATAAATCTCACAAATCTCATGAATCTCACAAATCTCATAATTAGAACCAAATATATATTTAATATTCAATTAGTATAATGTGATAATAATTTAAGAAAATTTTTCTACAATAATAACCTCTAACTACATAATTTTATATTGTTAATAAATGACAGTGTTTATAAAGCTGTAATAATTTTTCTAAAAATTTTTAGTAGTTAAAATTTTTTATAATACTTTAAATGCAGTAGCAAATTTTTATATACATGTAATTTACAGTAAAATCAAATCATATTCATTAATGGTTAACAATATTAGTTTGACGTTTGTGTCGATTTTGTCTTTTTGTTGAGATAACCTAAATGTTTTTAGGTGTCACAAAACCTAATCTTTTTTCTTTTAGCATTATTTTTTTACTTTTATTGCGCATAAATTTTTTTATGGTTTTGTATTTTTTAAAGACTTCAATATAATAAGTTCTTAATTCGTTTAATTTATTTATGGTTATAGTTTTTTTTTTAAGAAAGGATTTCTGATTAATTAAATTTCTACAAAGGGCAGACAAAATTGAGATTTATTATCGTTACAGACAATTGTCTGAATTTAAAAGAGTGTGAAAAATAATATTCCATTCGTGGTCTGCCTAATAATTTTCGGCAAATTCTAACTGATAATAGTTTTGCAGCTATTTTCATAATTCCTGGAACACCTGATAAAAATTGGCCGAATGATCTTTCAGCCGATTCGATTAAGTTTGTGATTTCGGCATAGATTCAATAAAAAGTCAAATATATGTTGTGCCTGAGATCGATGCTTGTGTCAGGCGATAGCTGACGCATCACAGATATCGATCGTTAGATAAGGTGCCTCAGATAATTAGATATGCGTCGGCTGTCGTTTATGACAAAAAAAAACTTCAAAACCTATATATCGATCATATTTGACTCTTCGTCATAAATCTTATTAACCAATGTAGTTATAGATGAATTAGTGTAATTAAATAAATATTATTAGTTGGCGGGTATAAATTAATTATAAAAATAAAAAATCAAATCAAAGTATTAAATAATTTAAACTATAATATAAAATAAAATAATTTGAAAAATAATAAGGTAAATGACGAATATTTGTAATGCAAAAATAGTATAATAAAGCATCGAATAGCGATGCAGTAATCGATTAGAGTGTCAAAAGTTAACAAACGGAAAATGATGTAATTAATTAGAAATCAAAAATCAAAAATAGCCTGATTGTAGAAAAATAAGAGATACTCGCCTAATAGTTCTCTATTGTGTCTTTATTATAAATATCTTCGTTATCGGGTACATTCAATAATCATGGTGGGCGTTCATGTTAGAATAAAGATTTGGTTGTATATGATTAATGAGAAGAAAAAAGGGAATTAGCATTGAACTATGTAGCATAATAATATGTGCTTCTCATGTAATTAATACACATAGGGCAAAAAGGCAATACATTTAACCAATTTGCAATTACAGTTTGCGATCTATTAATTTTTCATTTTTATTGTAATAAAGAATGCTGCGTCAGATAATAACTGACGCATCTCAAATTATCTGAGGCACCTTATCTAACGATCGATATCTGAAATGCGTCAGCTATCTCAGGCATAACATATATACGTAATTAAGATCAGGTACTAATATACATTACGGCGTATTTGTCAAATTTGACTAATTTTTGGACCCAAATTTAAGTTTTAAGGACAAAATTTATTATTTATTTTTTAAGATTGAAAATTATTAGCACTCCGATTTAACAATACGTTTAACCAATTTTTTCCATTAGAGCAAACCATGTACGAATGTATAATACAATTTAATAGTTTTCAATGATCGTCAGTAACATTGACAGTATTTTATGGACAGAAAATTTAAAATGTATATCATCGTCATAACATTACATATATGTGAGGTCAATTAAATGACTCACAATGTCAAAATTTTCAAAATTTGGGTATTTTACAAATTCGCCGTAATGAAATATTGTCTCTGGTAAATTACGGAAATATGATATTTTCAAAGCATCTTCGCTGGAAAATATTTTTTAAAAAAATCTAGAGACATATCATTTCGAAAAATTACCAAAACACTTAGGTTTAGCGTATCTTTTATAAGTCGGGTTCTTAATCACTTTCAAAAATATGGATGTATTGAAAAGTTTCCGTCACTTTCGGACTGAACCACAATCCGAGATGGAACTCTTGTTAGACATTATGACAATTTGAAAGGCTACGAACCAACTTGCAACTTGTATATACAAATAAAAGTAATATTTATTTATGTACTTCGTGTAATATGTTTATTATAAAAGTCTAATTAATATATAGTGCATTATTTATATTTCTTGTTAAGATTTAATTGACACATTAAACATAAGTTTAATAATGTTGACATTATTATTACAACGGTCTGTAGAACAGTCATTATAAATCAAAAATAGTTTTTATTATACGGATCATGCCGAAATTACAAACTTAATCGAATCGGCCAAAAAATCCTTCGGCCAATTTTTATCAGGTGTTCCAGGAATTATTACAGCTGTTTTCATAAATTCTGGGACAACTGATAAAAATTATTTCGGCCGAATTCGATAAGTTTTTGAATTCGGTGTTATCGAAATTTGATTTCGGCGAATTCAAAAACTTATCGAACTTATCGAATTCGGCTGATCAATTTTTATCAGTTGTCCCAGAATTTATGAAAACAGCTGTAAAATAGCTGTATGTAACCCTAGAAGAAAAGTGGTACGGGTTGGTTTCGGGAATGTACGAAATGACACGGATTGTGTGCAGTAACGTGACGTGGCACAGAGAAAATAACCAATCGGAATTTATACATTTCAATCGTCCCGGATCAGTCCGACGTCAAAACAAAACACGTGTGCAAGAAGGAAAAAAGAGAAAAAGCGAAAATATTCGAAAACTGGCAATTTTACATATAATATATAATGCTAATAACCCTAACCACAATACCTAACACGAACCCGAACCCAAACCCTAAACTAAAGCAAAAAATACGCCACACCACGTGATAGTCACGTTACAACAAAAGTGTCTAAACCCCTGGTGGGGCCGTGTGGCACGCGCAGGCACGTTTTACGGAATGGCACGGACATTGCAGCAAGGGTGGCACGTTGTATCACGTAATACGTTCAGATGACACGTATGTGTACGTTGCGCACATGTTGGCTCGTTTCGCGGAGAGCGAATGATTTTTATTTAAAAAAGCAATATTTAATAATTTCACTGACAAAGCCTTCCTGAGTATTTTAACAAAAAAGCTTCCTTACAAAATTTTACTTCACATGCGGTTAGTTCATATTATATTGATTACTAATGTAAATCCTATGTTTTTAATCATTAATCCACAGGTTTGTATTTGTTATCGCGGTGGCACGTGAATTCACTTATCATTACTTGTGCCAATTCATGTACCGATTCGACTAGTAAACTGCTGCAAAACCCGAGCTATTTACGGTCCAATTGGCACGGGCATACGGCCCCACACGGTCCACTGAATCCGTACCAACTCGGACCATACCCGTACAAATCCGGATCTTGGCCCGTGCCGATCCGGTACATTTTTCTTATAGAGTAAATTTTCTAAAATCAAATTTAGCCATTAAGGTTCATAATGGTAAAGATATAATACAGAATATCTATTCTAATCTAACGACAGATCTTACTGCAAGCTTTGTAATGCAATATTTGAGATACAAATACCTAAGGTTGAATACATGCGCAGAGTTTTTAATATGATAATGGTCTATGAAAATAGTGTTCCGACATTTTTTACTAATTATTAAATGATTAATATTTAATCCCGATTATATAAAGACCAATATTATAATATGGCATTGTTGATCAATCGAAAAACATCTGAACGCTATTTTCATTCACCACACCTCATATGTTTTTATAATTCGGGCTGCACGCTTAATGCTAGTTGTGCGCGCAGTTTCACTACGCGATTGTGCTTCCCATTTAAATATATACCCGATTAAGGGCGCCTTAATCGATGGGTCAAAAAGTGCCGAGGAATAAATTTTACTTGGTGGAAAATATTTTAATCCACAATTGTGTTTTATCATCATAGTGGATTTAATCATATTCGCAACTTGATAAAGTTTATTACGTTGTGAGACTGGAAACGTGACCTGACCGCAGGCACGTGGACGTGTGACCCGGGAATTCTAAATTTGGGTTTACCGGCGGAATTCCAGGAATTCCCGGAATTACGAGAATTAGGGAAATTCGGTGAATTTCTAGAATTGGGCGAATAGCGGGAATAAGGCGAATTTCAATAATTACAATAATTACTGTAATAAGGGTAATTCTGGGAAAACGGCGTATTCTGAATGTAAAAATAGATAATGTGTTAATTATAAATAAAGGCCTGTTGGCCCTTCGGGAAGAAGAACACCCGTTTTAACTAACTAAATAATAAAGTACCTAAGTCATATATACATAATAATCTATACACATTCGTTTATTAACCACTCGTCCAAATCTAACACGCCTCTTTCAACCCTAAAGTAACCTAAGGCTTGGTTACACGGACCTTCCTTTCAATTTAGAGACAGACTCGCCGTTTCCGGGTCTGACAACGTAATTCAAAATTTTTTTTATTAATAAAAAATATTAGGTAGTTTGCATTTCAATTTACGAACATTTTACAACAAGCCATCTTTTTTTTTTTTCTATCTCTGGCTTGGCAAATTGCAATTAATAGAGTATTTAATGAGATCGCTCAAATGCTAAAGTTTAATGAAAGTAAAATATATGGAGCCGAAAAACTGTATGTAGATGCTTACGATTTCTTAATCTTTATTCATATGAAAGCGAATTCAACTATTCCATCAATAATTTCTTTATTTGGTGTAACAATCCAATATCGACGAAAACCTAAAACTATTAGATTCTGAACATACATTTTTTCAGTGCTTACTGGCTTTATTTTTTATGGCAATGTCACATTTAATAAATGGAAGAAAATAAGAATCGTTCAAGTATAAATTACGAACTTTATTTATTAGATTAACTTCGCGATCACTGGTTAAACCCATCGATCAACAAAAATCTTATATAAATATTATTATGGCTGAATACTATTGCGATCACTAGCTAATTGCATTTTGAATGACGCTCAAAACCCAAAAAATCCAATTTATTAATTTAATTTACGGATATTTTTAATGTAATAATCATTTTATAATGTCCTAAATAAAGATCTTTATTCGGTTTTACTAAATCACACCAGTGGTGTTCAGCACCACAATT